AAATAAGCAACTAGCTTCATCCCATAAAAAAATAATGCGTAAGACTTTCAGCATCATATATACATTTCTCATATAAACTTCGAACTAGTCAGCGAAAGAAAATGAGGTCACCTTGACTCAGATTCCAAAGTTCCTGTTCTTTCCTGACTCCTTATCTAATCCAAATCCAACCACGTATCTCTTTTAATAGTTGCAGAATGGCATGAAGAGCTTAAAATTAAAAAAAAAAAACTTTAATTTATCCAAAACTATACAATTACTTAAAAGTAGTACCAGACAAAAACAATCCTTTTCTGACGACTTCTATACTAATAGTTTCCACAACTCATGCCATGATACTTTCATGTCAGTAAAGGAAAGCAATGGGTCACATGACTATCCTGGATAGTAGCACCTGATTTACTACAAAAAGGGCAGAAATCCTTAGGCAGAACAGAAGCAATTCCTGAGACATGGTGTTAAATTCCATCTTTTCATTAAACTCAAAGGATTCATTGAATAAGCACTGTTTTCATCGTTTCCATATTTACACACATTAATGACTAAGAGCTGACTGCTACAAATTACTAATAGCGAATTAATTCTGTGAAAGTTCTAACTTCAGCGGTTTAAAAAAAAAAAAATCTCGTTTGAATGGACTTTAAACTTTCTTCCAAATCACTATCTCTTTTGGGAGTGTGAGAAGTTCAGAAAGGAGGAGAATCAGTGTTTCCTGTACAAGTTAAATGCTTTTTCAGTTTCCACTGAAGTTTCCTCTCTAACTTAAAGCCATCGTCCAAAAATGAGTAACATTTCCCTGGAGTTAACAATGTCATGGTATTACATGAATGCTAAGAAGCTGGCATTCACTCTGGAAAATGTGAATTCAAAATCAAATCACTTCATGATTATAAACTACCATGTTTTCTGGATCATCAAAGTAATCTCAACATAGTTGAGACAGTGAATGTTACATAAACAGAAGCAAACTTTTAACAAAAATAAGTTTATAATGGCCTCTAAAGTTATTCTAGTGCAGTTAAGAAAATTTTCTACTAGCAACTTTCTCATTTTTAGTGCTAAGACTTCTCAACCAATTTAGACAAAAATCTTTATAAAAGGTATTTCACTTAACTGTTCAGTCAACTATGTTTTGAATATAGTTTAGTTTTTTCTTGTTCAATATCACCATTAATAATATCCAAATGATAAGCAGTGATGTCTTTAACACTGTGATAATATTTAAAGAAATAAGGACCTGTTATCACATTAAAAGACCTTACGGTATTCACAATTCTAATTAGTATTTCTTTAATCTCTTCACTTTCATTCTATTGTCAATTTTTGCTGACGTCACTGGACCTCCTTCAATCAACACCATGGCACTCTAATACAGAGTACTCTAATATATCTAATACTATAACTTAAAATTAGTAAAGGTGCCGTATCTTCTAAACAGTAAACAGTCTCTACACATGCAGTCTCTCCTACCAGGCAAAGTAGGCTAGACTTTACTTGTGCTTACTTCCTTCTAGGTTAGAAGCTATATCCTAAACAGAAAAAGGCTCTCAACAATCTCAAGTAAATAGAATAGGGATTTAAAAGGAAGAGTTTACTGGGGCCCAGTAGGTAATGTAATTAGTGAACAGGAACAGTTATAAACGGTATAGGCCCTATCTGAAGGGGACAGCAGCTACTCACTCCACTCAAGATTATTTTTCTGATGCAAAAAATACATTCTTAGCACTGCCTATCTTTTGTTTTTCAGAGATAAGACACCCTGATTTTTGTGTAAAATAGGACTTTAACAGCTAGAGTAATAAGGCAGCGGCTAAAGGATAGTCTGTTGGCTGCCAATTTGTGGCTACTAAAAGAAAACACTGTTCTTAAAATTCTCATTTGTATTGAAACACAGAAAACTCTAGGCCCCGAATTCAAGTCATCCCTTTAGAGAAATTATTTTCTCACTGAATATTTGGAGGACTCAGCCAAACTAGAATCAAAACATTCTCCCACTTACTCCCCTAATTCTGTAATGCCAACATTCTATATTGACTTTACTTAATAAACACATCTGCCACTATCCACATACAGCACAAGGTGGCTAATCTATGTAACAGAATGAAATCAGTAGTATTAACATAAATACAACATATTACCAACCAGATGTGGATGTCCTAACATTAGTCAGCACTCCTTGCTTCTGAGCATGAGTTATATGAGAAATTTCCCATACTGTTTAAATATACCATATTCCCTAATCCAATTGCATTAGATAAAAACAAAAATAAATAAATACATACATACATACATACAAATATTATTAGAAAATTAGCATGTGGAGTATTTCATGGTTCTTTTCAGAAACATGATGTAAGCTGATTCTCAGCATATCCTTGCCAAAGAAACGGCATTTTTTTTTCCCATTTTAAGGATTAGAAAGCAAAAGTCAGAAAATAGAATGAGTTCACCAATATAAGAAGTAGTAAAAGCAATTCAAATTTAGATTTGAACTCAGTTGGTTTCTCTCCACTAACTTCAACATTTTCTTTAAGGTTCATGCTTAAAGAAATGGCTCAGAAAAAAAGGACAAATAGGGAGTACAAATAGCGACAAAACAATAACATTAAATCTTAATTATCCAGCTCCCAGATTTATTATGCCTTCAATTATGTAGCCTAATAGCTAATCTGGAATTCAGCACAGACAAACTGAAAACTGTCATCAGTCCCAAAAGTAATAATCCCAGTGAGGTCTAGTTTATGCTTATAGTTGCAAAAATGCAACACAGCACTGAAAGAATTAGCAATAATGACCTAAGTAACCACTCTGTATTTTCCCATGTATAAGCAATAATCAATGGAGTCATCTTGTGGACGTTGAAGGTAAATTTTATAATCCAAGATAGAAGGCAAAAAGAGCAGATCATTAAAATTTCCCCAAGGTCCTACTTTGAAGATAACATAAACTGCTTTGATAATTTCAACCTAACCAGTTTTTCTCCAGTAATGAAGAACAAACTGAATATCTGGCTTGAATTGTATAAAATATCTGAATACAGTGAGCGGTTCATACTATGAGAGGTACGAAAATGACCATGATTAAGGACATAGCACATTCACTTCCTATGTCATATTCACTCTAGGGCAAAACCTTACTGAAAGGCATGATAGATAAAATCTCTCACAACACTAAATTTGTTGTTCTTTTCTTTTGGGGGCAACCTCATATTACTGGATTTATATAATGTAATGTTCATATTATTATAATCTATTATATCACATAAAAGACTCTTAACAATTTCAAAGAGTAGTAAGTTAATGAAGTGAAATATGCTAAATTTGTTGATGAAACTGAATCAGTGACCCCAAATATATTTGAAGCCAAAGAATAAATGACCAATGATTAAGAAAAAAATTGTCAAAAAAAGAGAAAATATAAATGCAATTTTGTGGCAACACAGCAATTTCAAACTGTTAACTTGTGTAAATATAGATCTTATATTTTACCATCATGAAATTAAAAAAGAACATACGGAATATATGTTCTAGAATACTTCTCAAAATGAATTCTACAGTCTCTTAGCAACTAAAGTTCTACAAATAAGCAACCTAATAAATAAGCAACCTCCTGACACTAATGAAAGATTATAATTGTGATAGATGATCTGGTTTCAAACTTTTGTTTTCATTGTAAAAGCCTAATTGTTCTTTTATTAAATAAAATTAGAGTAATGGCTATACTTTTAAATTGGAAAATAAATACAAACCAATAAAATATCATATGTATCACTTTTAAATACAGGGATCAATCACAAGAATTTAATGTGCAAGAAGTTGTTTTCTAAAGTTGCAGTACTTAGAAAGTTCAAAACTTACTGTTCTATGTCATATTAGTCAGGGATATATTCATATATCCCTTGACAAAACTAGAGAATTGTACTATACCATTTATTTAAAATTTTAGTAAGTACCACAATTTAAACACTAGAGTTTAAAATTTCTGCTATCTGAAATATTATGTAAATAAAAATTTCATTCTTCTTACCCTCTGGGTCACTATTGACTTACCATATCTCAATAAATGTTTCCACTTCAGAAGAATGTTAGTCTTTTGAAAACTGTGAAACTAAATTTACAAAATCATTGAATTACATTATTTTTAAATATACCACAAGTTTTAACTAAGACTAAAGTGGATATCAACAATTAATATCTATTAACCTAAAACAACTGAGTATTTATCTAAGCTCTCTTGCATTAGAATACATTAGCTAGAAAGAAAAGGAGTATGCAGACCTACATATGAACTTGTTTCTAATTCAAAATCTGAATGACAGAAAAATAAATTTATTATTTAAAAAAAATCTGAATGACAATTTAAGCAAAAAGTAATTAGAATAAAAAGTTAGCACCCTTAAAAATGTGAAAGAATTAAATGGCCAAGAGGAGGCAGCATAATGAGAAAGAATTAGAACCCAGAGTACAAAAAAAATGTCAAAAATTTTTTTCTTTCTGTGCTATGACTTATATTCAGAGAATTAACATTCTTCCCAGAAAGCTACCAAACAATAGCTCCAACACACACACAGACACACACACACACACACACACACACAGAAATCTCACTCTTCATGCGAAACAAGGCTTATTTATGGCTTCTTTCCCAAAAAAAAAAATCTATTCAGCAAATACATTGTTTTCAATTTCTACAAAAAAAAAAAAAAAAATCAAACAAACTAAAATATCCAACACAAAAAGAATATTAAGTTATTTAAGGTCAGAAAACACTATTGTGGTGATCAAATGTTCTGACAATGACAGAACATAAAATGGTGAGAAATTACAGGAATTTAACCTTTGACCTCACCATCCTAAGTACTGTTTCCCTAAAAGAAGCTTAAAGCAAACATTTCAACTTCCTAGCAAGCAAGCTCTAAGTTCACCTTGCTATGTAAACTCAGTAAAATTCAAGTATTTTTTAATTAAAATGGTCAAAGATAAAGAGTAATTGGTTCTTACCTCTGGTCCTGATGCATGTGCCAAGTCTCCTCACTGGCATAGTTGCTGCCTAAGCAGCTACAAAGACCAGGTCAGCAGCCATTTTGAGACAGCTGCACTGTCTCAGTTGCACTAAAGTGTAATTAAGATGGCTGCAATGTGCACTCAAGAACTCACACAGTGAAAACTCAGCTATGTATCAAACAAAGCCCCTCCCACTTTGTCAGTCTGCAGGAAACTGAACACTGACAACAGCTAATGCATATACTGCAACAAACAATGCAGCTGCCTAGGACACAGAAAACAGAGAAGGCAGCAAGCCAGTTTTGTAACACAATGCCTGTGAATCCGGACTTGCAATACAGACTTTGGGCACATCCAGATCCCAGACAGCCTGAAATCCATGCCACATATTAGCAGTTACAGAGATAGAGCCAAATCACACACAGCAAACATCAGGGAATACGCTTGAAAGAAAGCCTCCATTTCAGTCCAGAAAAAAAAAAAAAAAAAATCTGCTCAAGGCCCTTTTTTTTGTCTTTTACAGTACTTTTATCATGAAAAGAGTGCCAATTTTTATAGTTTCTGGAAAATTAAACTGTTTAAATCCTGATAGTCAATTTCTACTTATAGAAGGCTAATTAAAGATTTTTTTTCCACCACAGAGTCTAAGCCCCCAAGTACTGAAATCTAGCAGAATGGTTAAAGCCTGCAGTCAAATTTTTGAATCTTGACAATAATTTTAAATAACTGCAGGGAAGAGACTAGAGTCATTACAGCTATGCTGGCAACAAAGCTTATTTTGAGGAATCTGCCATAAAGATAAAATAATTTCTTCACTTTTGTAGTCCAGATGGCCACAAAGATAACTCCAGGTGAGTGTTTGGTCCCAGGGCAAATTAAATTTCATTCCCTGCTCCAGACCTCCCAACATTTTAATATGAGAGGAAAACAAAGAATGTAGACACCCCGGGGGATAAAAACCAAAAAGGGAGAACAGTAGACTAAAATTCAATATGAAAGTGAGTATACATACTAACAAGACAAATTTGAGAGAGATCCCAACATATCTGGTCTTGGGAGTAACCTACCCATCAAGAGAAGAGAAAGACAAGAGCACAGAAAGGAACTGTTTGCTGGGTAGCTCATATCATCTAAGAAATCTACCTTCTCCTTTTTTCCTTGGTTTACCCTTCTTAAGATCTAGCTGCCCTATGTGATCTTGTGTCTATCCATCACATGATATAGATTTTTACTAAAATTCATTAAGGGTATAGGAAAGTGGTAGGCATACAGCTTAAAGGAGATTGGCACAAATTGATAACTGTTCAAGCTGAGTGATGGGCACATGGAGTTATTTCATTCTATTTCTGTATATATTTAAAATTTAACATAATAAAATTCAAAAATAAGACAAACGTAACTCAACATTTTTTATTTTAAATTCAATTAACTAGCTCAGCTTCTTAAAAGATCCTTACATATTCTCCAAGGGGCAAACTGTATAATGTATGTAAAGACTTAAGTACATTAGATAAAAAAAAAAAAAATTATGCTTAACCAAGCCACATTAATTCTTCAAAAAAGAATTGTTTTTGAAGATCACTCTGAGGGTCACTCAAATCTATTTGTTAAAAGCAAGAGGTTGGTAAACTGCAGAAGATTCAAACAAGATAGACATCACTGTAGCACTGAAATGGGATTAAGATTAATGGGAAGACAAATAACAAAAATTTTTAAAGCTGCCAAGTGAGCAGCTTCTGATATTTAGGATAGGAGATTCTTTTGGAAGTCTGTTCTACAAAAATTTAAATTATGTAACACACCTTCAAATGTACCCTGTCCAATCCCCCATCTGCACCCCAAGCCTCCCATATCCTCAAATACCTTTCCATTGTAAATCCTGACTACTTTCCTGAGCAAACTAAGCTGCTAGCTACTAACTGGCTATAAAAACTACTTTTTTTTTTTTTAAGATTTTATTTATTTTTTCATGAGAGACACAGAAATAGAGAGAGAGGCAGACACACAGGCACAGGGAGAAGCAGGCTCCATGCAGCAAACCCGATGTGGGACTTGATCCCGGGACTCCAGGATCATGCCCTGGGCGAAAGGCAGGTGCTAAACTGCTGAGCCACCCCAAGAACTACTTTTAACCCAATCTAGATCTCAAAGTAAGCAGAATTTCCCTCGTTGTACCAATTCTCCTCCAGCCACTGGAATCATTTTATTAAATAAACTTAGAGTAATTTACCAGGTTTCCTCTATTATTCAAAGGCACATGAGAAAACAGTAACTACACTGACTGTGCACTTTACACATAGCACTTAGAGGACAAAGGAGTACAGAGATACATTAATATATATCAAGCCTTCAGGTAAGTTTTACATGCATTATTTCAATTGATTCTCACACTAATCCACAAGGTAGTTATTATTTCCAACTCGTGAGTGAAGAAAACAGACTCAAAGATTAAATAACTTCACAAAAGTGTCAGGAGCTGCAATATGCTAGACTATACTCAGTCTGAGCCCATGGAGCTTCCTTCACCCATCTCTTCCCACACAGGTTCTGTTTCTATGCATTATGAAAATGGTTTAGAAAAGGAAAATGTTAGGCTGTTATTCAGATAACGGGGGCCACTGTCAACAACATATTTCACTCTCTAGCCCAAAGAAACAATTCTAGTTCACCAGATAAATCATATTCCGGACTCAACCTAAATTCTCTCATGAGTAACAGTATTTTCCTTCCTCTGTCTTTCCCTTTACTATACTCCCCCAAACCAAGTGTAATTTAGCTTTCAAGATCTTTTGTGCATACCATCAATATATTCACCACATATCTATCATTCACTTGTGTTTTTATATATTAGTCCCTAAAGGACAGAAATCACATCTTAATTCATCTTCCATTCATTTTCCTAGTACAAAACACAGCATTTATTTGCTCAATAGATGGTGAGTTCTAATTAATTCCCAGTGTTTTGATTTCTACCACAAAAACCTCAGAAGATTCTATATCTTTAAGAACCTTCATTTTTAAGATCTCAACTCTTACTTTCTAAGAAGAAATAGTCAGCTAAAGACTCAATTAAGTTTTTAGCACTGGCCTAAAACAACCTCTGTACTTTAAAATCCAAGATGGAGGGGTGCCTGAGTGGGTCAGTCAGTTAAGCATTTGCCTTTGGCTCAAGTCATAATTCCAGGGTCTTGGGATTAAGCCCAATAATTTACATATATAAAATATTAAAAATTTACAGAACCTAAACAAAAATTCTCTCTCTCTCTCTCTCTCTCTATATATATATATATATATATATATACATAAAATTACTTTTATCTAGTTAATACACTTTAGTTGCATATTATTAGCAGCCTTACACATCCAAAGAAAACAAACATTAAAAGGGTGTTAAGATAATGAAATGAAAACACATAATTTCACTCCCTCAATTCTCACCAAAATTACTGTAAAGGTATTTTTTGAAAGCATAAATCCTCAAGAATGAGCAGAAAAGTAAAAGAGAAAATATAGCTAAGATGATTTTGGGAGCTGGAAAATAAGCAGAACCACTGGTAACTAACTTAGGACTTCCCCACACATCATATTCCATGCTTCATTGGGGACAGGAATCAATTTTAAGTTACACGACAGCAAGTTCAAAAGACATAGCAAGTAAAAGAACTAGGCCAACAGAGGTGAGCAGAGCAAATAGGATGGTGTGACTAAAAAAGGGAATACTAGTGAAAGCTATTTTTGAATAAGATAAACTACATATCCTTATCACATTCCACAAAAGACCTCCTCTCCACAATCCTAGCAAAAATATAAAGACAACATCCATGGTTAAAAATGATTAGCATACCAAAGAAAAAGGGATTGAGTTCTTACTGCAGAGACCCCTAGTCCTCTTTCTCCATTAATCTTTCAGAATGCTGGCAATCAAATCTTTATTCCTCATGTATAAAAATGGAGAACTATTCTCTGAGGGTATCTGAAAAGCACAAGACACAAGATCTTAAGGTCTAGGGCTCTCAAAAGACCGTCAACCCAGAAGCACCTGGGTGGCTCAGTCATGTAAGCCTCTGCCTTTGGCTCAGGTCATGATCCCAGAGTCCTGGGATCAAGACCCACATTGGGCTCCCTGCTCAGCAGGGAGTCTCCTCCTCCTCCCTCTGCTCCCACTGCTTGTGCTCTCTCTTGGGTGCTCTCTCTCTCTCAAATAAAATCTTAAAAAATAAATAAATAAACAAACAAAGCCAACCCAAATAAGCCGAAGAGACATTAAAAGCTGACAAATGTAAATATTTTCATCAACTTTAAAAAATTTTTTTGAGAGAGAACATGTGCAAGTAGGGGTGGGAGGTTGCAGAAGGAGAGAGAAAGTGTCTTAAGCAGGCTCCACACACAGCACAGAGCCCCATGTGGGGCTTGATCTCACGACCCTGAGATCATGACCTGAGCAGAAATCACAAGTCAGATGCTTAATCAACTGAGCTGCCTAGGCCCCCTCTAATCAACTTTTTAATCTTCCACAACATATAATAAGTCAGGCAAGGCAGAAAAAGGCAACTGAAAAGTCTACCATGGAAGACAGAGACCAAAAACAAACTAAAACAAAAAACATGAAAACTATTTAAGAAAAAAACTTCAAGAAAAATTAATATCCACAGATAAGAAAAAAATGTTGCAATCATATGTCAAGAATAGAATACCAGGGGAACCTGGATGATTCAGTCAGTAGAGCATGAGATTTGATCTCAGGGTCATGAGTTCGAGACCCACATTGGGCATAGAGTTTACTTTAAAAAAAAAATAGAATACTACAGGCAAGGACCAAAAATAGAAACTATGAACATGATAGAAAAAAAATGAAAAACTCAACAGAAGAACTAGATGATAAAGTTGAAGAAATCTAACTGAACAAAAAGACAAAGTTGGAAGCAGGAGGGAAAAAAAAAAAATCTTAAAAAAGTGGAGTACCCCTCCAAAAATTCACATTGGAATGATAAAATAGCATAAGGCATCACAATGAAATCATTTAGGACAAAGTTCCAAAACTGAAAAACAAGAGTTGCCAAACTGAAAGGGCCTGATGAATGCCAGCAAACAAAGATAAAGAGATCCACATCAAAGAATTACAGTGGAATTTCAAAACACTAGAGACTATTAACAGATTAACAGCTTTCAGCGAGGGGAAAATCAGAAACATGAATGGCTTCAGATTTCTCAGCAGTAACTGAAGCAAGAAGATAATAAAACAGTGTCTTTAAAATTCTAAAGAAAAGTATTTTCCAACCTAGATTTCTATACCTAGCCAA